TAGACTCTCCAGTTTCGTCAACTGGTGATGGGGTAGTAGGGAAAGAGGCACAGACCAAAGCATTCAACTGAAAATTCTGTGGTCACGGTTACATTTTGTCATTAGTTTAAGGAATGGGATGGGATAGCCATACATCGGCGAAACCGGGACGCTATTGGTTGCGAGACGTGTCACTCGGACGATTAACTTCCCCAGAAAAGTTACCTTTTGTTGTCTCACGGACTTGTCCACTTGTGGCAACAGCCAGTGGATCTGCAACCCTTTTTCTCATACGAAAGCAGCAGCAAACAGCCATTCGTATCAGTCTTTCCTTGATGATCAGCTTTACATATTGCTAATGGATCCCGTCCGCGGCCAGATACCAACCGCTTGCACGTAGTTCGTCCTACCCGTACACTTTCAATCGAATAAATCAAATGAACAATTGTACCAAGTTACAAACGTCATATGCATAATTCTAATGGTTAGCTGATAAATAGGCTAACATCTCTGTACTTGGAGCTATATTAACACTGTTTCTTCTTCTTGTTTTCATTACAACAAGTTTTCTCGAGTAGACAGTCCTCCTGAAATCCCCTTATCCGTTGGTGATGGGTGGGATCTATCCTTGATATCTTGATAACAAGGTTAAAGATGTAGGAAGGAACACATGTGGTTTGCTCTGGCTCAGGGTTACCATAGTCATTTTATTTGACTTCTTGTTTAAAGGACTAAATACTTTGTCAGACTACTTCTACTTGGCAAGCATTGTCAGTGGTTAAGGCGCCAACTTACGGACCGGAAGGTCCGTGGTGAAGCCCACCTACTTCTACTTGGCAAGCATTGTCAGTGGTTAAGGCGCCAACTTACGGACCGGAAGGTCCGTGGTCGAAGCCCACCCTGGGCATCTCAACTGCTCCTCTCCATGTTTGCGCAACCTCGCAGTATCTCAGACCTCCTGCTTCCTTCCTTCTTGTCATGCTACCCATGAACCAAAATGGCGTAACAGCTCCATTTGTATGTTTCTCATAGGTGTTTGAAAACAAGATCGACTACGATCGACTCCCGATAGCTCTTCCCCACCTGTACGCTGCTGGAGTCCCAATGTCCAAACTTGCTCTATTCGTTGGTCGTTTCCGTCACCAATGCAACATTATATCAACGATCCCTTGAGCTTGTAGGATCCAAACCACCGTTGCCCAACATGTTCCCGGTTCCCCCAAGTTGTTTTTGTTTTCTCCTGGCCTACCAATCATCGGTACACATATTACTGATCCCTTTCAATTTCATGTTTTCCTCTCCGACCTCGCTTTCATTCGCTAAACTTTACGGATGTTTCTACTCGCTTATGCATTTCTATTGTGACTAATACCACTTCTACGTTTTTATTATGAATTACTTTGAGCACGTTAAGAAACCCCGTGTATGCCCTTTCGACTAGGAATACAATCAATTGACATTCTTGAGAAAGTATGTTTTCCAGAGTTAGTCGCCCATGGATTCTCCTGCTTCGAAGCACCGTATAACGGCGATGAAAGTATGGTCATTCTACGGTAAGGACCACTCCTAGAGAATACAGTAGTCTTTCTCTGGGCTGAAATTTATGGGCGGGGCGGATTTCACTACGAACTGAGCATCCGTCTTACACGACTTTGTTTGTGACTGTTCACTTGCTTTACCACATTTGGATACGTGAATCCTCTCTGGCAAACCCATTACTTTATCACTTTGGCCCACTGGAACAAGTTGCAATCCTTGTGCCTTCTGAAGGCAATCTTATACGTCCGATGTGGACACGCAACATCGATCCCGCGGCCTTTAGGCGAAAATAGTGCCAAGTTTAGACATTCCCATAGATGAAGTTTGGTTGATTGAAAATGGATCTTGCGAGATGGGGCAGTCTTCACTCAAATATAGAGAAGTGATAGTGCCATACGTCTGAACGAAACGTACCCACTCGAAAACTAATGGTAATCAGCTGAGGACTAGGAGCTTGTTTGTAAACTGATATCAGTGTGTGGTTTAAGTGGATCCCTCGTATGCAGTGCCGTCGCCGCCAGGCTCACTGGGTCTTCGCTCAAGATACCGCAATATCTTTCCTCGATGACAGCCTTCGCTCATGCCGCGTCAACCGTCCACGTAGTGAAGTAGTTCAAGGATAAGCACTACACTGTTGCCACTTGGACAGGAGGGGGTCCTCCTTGAGTTGAACCCCTTAATACGCAGGTTACTCAACGTTTTTAGTCACCCTGAACACGGTACGTAGCGGGTGTTCGACTTGGGGAGCTTGTTGGCTTTTAACTCAGCAGACGGTCTCATGTTGTTGTTATTGAAAAGTTGTTCACTGAATTAATGTCGTCCTAAACTTCGTGAAGTTTGCAAATTGGTGGGATTGCCATAAGTTCCTTTAACCCATCTAGGACAGCGTCGGCGATTTCGTCGTTTTTCAGCTTGACACGGGTCATGTCAAATTACCGAATGGACAGAAACCTCAAAGGACCGGATGTCTAATTCGTGGTACATATCAATCGCATCGTGGTTCACTACCCGATTTCAGTGAGGAGTGCTAAATCTCGGATGTCCTTGTTGTCCGTTTCGTGACATTCTACCATGATCTCTTATCTTCCTGGTATAAGCGAATTTCTTAACCCATTTCAACAAGGGGAGAGCTATCAGATAAATTGGTGAACAAAACATCTGTTAGATGAGTATGTTGAGTGTTATTCGAGTATAGAACGAAACTTCAATGAAAACGTGCGCGGAACTGCTCTCAGCGCTGGACACAACTCTGCCGATCAGCGAACAGCAAGTGAAGCTGATTCAAAGTTTCCCGTACAACGGAAACTGTGAAGGATGCCCAAAAACACGGTAGCCGTTCAATTCGCCCACCGCGGTATTTCGCTTCGACTTTTTACCCGAATTACCTTGCAGAATAACGCTTTCCAGCCATCCTTTGCTTCTGATGTCATGCTAACCCCATCATTCCGACACGATTTTTTTACCAATCGGTTCAGAACCTGTCATTCGAGAAAACCACCTGTCTTCAAGTGCGTATGAGATTTGGACTACTTGTTCATTCAGAAAGAGAATTTTGATTGCACTGCAAACATCATCATGGACTATTGGACACAGTGCAACACAGATTATTTGTGATCGCCAATGCGCGGTGTCACCTGGTCTTTATCCGTAGCAAAGGTTCGGAGTTTCCAGCAAGTAGTCAGTGTCGGCAAAATTTATTCAGTAAATGAAGTACCGATGTGCTAATGAGACGTTTTTCAAAAAAGTAGGCAGCTCAACAAGGGTCGTTGCTGCATTCAGATAGAAGTGGCAACTTGAGGGGCGTGGCACAAACATCCGGTTATCTATCCAGGAGTTCACTGACCCTTTTAGAAGCACAGTCCTAAGAATACCCCGAACCGCTTACGGCTGAAGGCTCTATCGACATCGTGAGGGCTATGGTGCTGTGTAGACCACCACGCATTCTGGTTTGATGCATGAAAATTCTTCAGTCGGATTTAAACCGAAGGATCGTAAACTGACGAATCTTAAACTTAGCTCATCTGTTGATTAATAGACTCTGTGGCGGAAACGAGTGACAAGGTGGATGGCTTGAGTCCGTATTACTGTCCACGAAGATACCATTGGTAAAATGGGTGTCCTGCCATATCGTCTGAAAGACCAGCTGGAATGTTATGGACATGGATCATCCGAGAAACGTACTCTTATTCAAGGGCTATGTAGCAACAACGTGCTATTTTCGGCTATCTTACTGGGTCACATTTGTCACCAAGGTTGAGTAAACAGTGTTACCTGATTGACTTCGACAATTTAGCGATCAGTTTGTGCGTACCAAACAACCTGGGCGAGATGGCTCGTTAGAGCGCCGAGTGACAAGGTGGATGGCTTGAGTCCGTATTACTGTCCACGAAGATACCATTGGTAAAATGGGTGTCCTGCCATATCGTCTGAAAGACCAGCTGGAATGTTATGGACATGGATCATCCGAGAAACGTACTCTTATTCAAGGGCTATGTAGCAACAACGTGCTATTTTCGGCTATCTTACTGGGTCACATTTGTCACCAAGGTTGAGTAAACAGTGTTACCTGATTGACTTCGACAATTTAGCGATCAGTTTGTGCGTACCAAACAACCTGGGCGAGATGGCTCAAGTGGTTAGAGCGCGAACTTACTGACCGGAAGGTCCGTGGTTCGAACCCGATCTCTGCCTCTCGACTTCCCCTGTCTAGGCCTGAGCAACCTGGCAGTATCCCAGTCCTGGTGCTTCCCTCGGCTGGCACTGCAGCTAGGCACCGAAAGGACATTACAGCTGCATATACTGTGCTCCGTAGGTGAGGTGCCCTAACCAAACTCGATGTGGTTTTCCGGTGCCTTCATTTGATACATCCCGGTGAGAAGAACCATTTAAGCAGACTTCGGTAATGCACTACAACTTTTTTTATAGATATCCGTCAGCATAAGATATTTATCTTTCTCTTTGATTTATTCATATGGTGTACCAGAAAACGATGGAGGTACCTCGGAATGTAATGTTTTAGCTCACACAGGTATGAACTGTGACAGTTAATTTGGAACAAGTTGTCAAATAACTACAGAAACCCTCGTCTATTAGTAGACTACTGTTTCCCCATCGTAGTGCTTGCTGGGTTGCTGCCTCATGGTTTTTATCATTGTTGTATTGTTTTTAATTACTTTGATAATTAGCGGATACTAAGCGATATTGGGGCGTTCATAAGGACCTCAGACGACACTGTAGCCAGCAAACCCAGACACCTAGCCGCCGGTTACCTAACGTTGTAGTTGTACAGTGGTTCAAGCCTTATTATTTCAACAGTGTGATGGTCATGACGTCTCCAGGCGATTGTTTCAACGGTTAATGGGCAAAGTTTTGTTTTGGTATTTCATCCCTGAAGCTTATTCAGAGTTTTCCATATGCACCTCCTAGAGTGACTGTCCGCTGTTTTCATTCGCATCAGAATGATCAGAATTCTCTTTCTAGCAGATCGATTTCCTCAATTGGCTTGATATTTTCAAGACAAGCTTGGGCTCCCATGGTCATACACCCGGTTGTTTATCAGAAAATGACTTGTTCACAAACTTGGAACTTCAGGCTTCATCTTTACTCTCCCTGCTGTGGTCGTCAAATACCGTGTTCAGTTGTTGACGGCCCAATACATCTGCACTACATTGTTCATCAGATTATGACTTGCTTTGTGTGTGTGTGATGCATCAGCACCCTCTAGATGTCTCATTTCGTTCGGGTCAAATAGCTTGTGAAACACGTAACTTGGGCTTTCGCATCACACGTGATCCTGTTAACCAAGTCAAGAGAATATTTCACGGAAATGGAAGTTGGTAAGGAGACGACTAATTGCATATCTCCAGCCTAGTGGTATAAGCCTACACAGTAGTTGTATCTTTTCCGACGCATGAAATCCTGGGTGTAACTGGACAGGATAGTGCTCCCTAAAGCCGGAAATATGTTACTTATATCCGTGTTGTTTGATTCCCTTGGATTTTCTGATCAAACGATTAACATATACTCGATCAAGTTAACAGCAAGAGATTTTGCCTCATCCTGTGACTGCGGCAATACATCAAACCGTCCTCATCCGTTTGTCTTCGTCCACCCAATCCCAAAATTATTTTGACTTTTCAAGTCAATGGTGATGTCAATTACGCATATTCGACGTTTCACAACAAAGTACCTTGTGACAGTCTGATATTTCATACACTGAGAGCGTGTCCTACTCCGGTCGGTCACAAATTTGTTGTTTCCGTCTGTGTTTGTTTTCCTCCTTCTCAGGAATTAATTTGGCTTACGAGAACAAAACTAAACATAAGTGTGTATCAGTGAAATTTAGGCACATCATTGAATTCGTACCCGTGGGGTTATTTTTTCCCCAACTTTGTCTTTGGCCTGGCTGGCCCACACTAAAGGAGAATCAAGCAACTTGAATTTCGCGCCTATTGCAGGCAATTAGCCACATGAATCCTTGACCTGTCGAGATTTTAACTGAGTTCTCTGTGTGTGTGTGTGTGTGCGATAAGCACTCCTGAGGTGTAGCGTCTGAAGAGGCTGTGATGACCTGTTCACGATCCTGCCTATGGCTCAGTGGTTAGAGCGTGAATTTACTGAAGGTCCGTAGTTCGAACCCGACCTCTTCCTCTCGAATTCCCCTGTCTAGGCTTGGGCAACCTGGCAGTATCCCAGCCCTATTTTGGGTGGCGTAGCAGCTAGGCACCGAAAGGATGTTATAACTGAACGATCATCCTATCTACGCTGATTGACTACCTGCCTGGCCCTCTCACTTTCTGTGACTTTTAGCAGTAGTGAATTTTTCAAAACCTATTCGCGGTTTCTGTCCAAGCTCTTACAAAATCACGACATTTAGTTGAAGCGAACAATCGCAGAAAACAAGTATTGTTCACCACCTTTTTTCAGCTTTCTGTCGGAATAATCATGCCGCAGCAAAGCAGAAAATATACGCCCCGATTTTAGTAAGATGGACTGAATGGCTGTTGCCACGGATGTTGTGCTCTTCCTACTAGAAGTAGCAACCGATATAGACAATCGTAATATGGAATTCAGTAAACCATCCAAGATGAAAAGAACTTGTCAGCGCTTTCTGACCACATTTAGTGCGCGAACTGCTGACTGCGGTACAGAATGAAACTCACAGTTGTGGCAAAACACGGAGCTTGTTAGGCCCAATCGAACCACTAGAACACCCGATAACCTGCCTGTTCGGAAACTGAGGGTATTGAACATTGTACAAACAAAGTTGAAATTCACATGCTGGTCTGTATCTGGGTCAGCACTTGCACCATCCGCTCCAGTGTCTTGCGTGTTATTGTGCACACGGACACCGCTTGATGCTTTCTCGTGTTTTGTTCACCAATGGTTTCTGGATACGATAGAGAGTTAGCACAAAGCGCAAGGTAATCGAAGAACAGCTGTCTATAGAGCTCATCTGCGGGAAATCAACTTTCAGTTGCATAGAGCCTCCCTTCTTTAGTCTCATTTTATCCTTTTCTCCCCTTCCCCATCCCGCCATGAAATCTGTCCGTGAAGGTTCAAGGGCTATGTTTGAAAGCTTGGTTTGCTTTGCAGCACCGTCAACGAAACTTCTGCGCACTCATTTCTGGTAACAACGCTAAACACCTCGAAACCAGATTTACGACCCTGAAACACAACCCAATCAGCTACCTTCACTGTTGACATTTTGAAGCAAGCAGGAAAACAAGCTGTTCTCAGTGGAACGCTGAATGCCTGTCGCATTGAATTATGCTGTCTGTTGGGAACGAAAATCCAGGACCTGTGCACTGTTACTATGCTGACAGACTCATCATTTTCCCTCGGATTTCGGTTGATCAAATCTGGCGATGTGATGACAGTCGTAGAAATTGCTTTGAATTATCAAGCGTAGGGGTCTCTACTAAATCGGATGCTTGTTAACACTTGTATATGCACGGTCGTGTTTGATAACGTATATGAAAAGACCTCAAGAAGGAGAAACTGATTGTTCCCTTTCAGTTTTATCTGCTCATGTCCCAAAAGAATACAACTCTGAATACGCCTGAGAAAGTTTTACAACGCTCTAGGTTTTTTTCTTCTTAAACGTTACAAATACTTCGAAATCGTAACTTCTGGTGAAATAAAAGCGCAGGCAGGAAAGCTCAGCTCGGCTGAGATCCAGCTGTATGACTGTCTTGGGTCGAGCATGAGACAACAGCGAGTCGCTTGCCAATCACAAATTATTGCTTTGTAGTATCATCGGGAAAAGTGAAAGTCAACTGACCATGTTCTGACCAGCCAAAAAAACAGGCCGGACCTAGATAGACCATAATATCATCGATTACCGCGTGCGATGATCGACCATTACCTGGTGCTTCTTCTAGGACAATTGTGTGGCCCACAAGATGTATTCGCTCCTTACTGATTTTCACTGCTGTTTTCAAGTCAGCGCAAACCGTACACATCTCTTTCGGTCACTGTAAAACTCATGGACCAGAAAATGAAAAAACCAACTACCCATTGGCCCGATATCGGATGGTAACGATCAGGGGAAGCATATATGCGAACCTGTTTACTTGTTGCTGAAACCTCTATCTGCGGTACAACTTAACCAGTATCCTTCAACTACTGGAGCTTCGGTAGTAGCGTGGCTTTGCCGAAGGCCCGCCGACAAATTCCCCTCGCTGGCAACCACAACCCAATTCGACACAGGACCCGACACAAGGTGAGACTGTCCCCGCGGAACACGGTACACATCAGATGACACTTAATTTGGCCACCTTCTACTTCCGGGTTGTCAACCTTTGAGGACTGCGAAAAAGGAACAACACACTCAGGCCTCAGAAATGTTCCACTATGTAATCCAACTTGAGCGTCACCATGCTGCTGGTCCTCCACCTGCATCTTTCAAGGGTGGCGTTGAATTCCCAACTCGGTGTCTTTCCAATTTACCTACATCAACCTGGGAGAAACTGTCCTAGGTAACTGGGGTCAATCGATAATAGTGACCATCTTCAAAAGGATGAATGCCGATGAAGGTAGTAGCCACGATGGTTTCAAGCTGATTCAAGGCTTCCGGGGGTCCGGATTCTTCTTCATCTCAAGGCAGCACTTGAAACACTGATCTGCGGACATCAAGCGGAATTTCGACTGAGCATGGACCATACTGTCATACTCCCTCAGGTGTGACAGCAACGTCATATGTACAGATGGTCCTATGACTTCAGAGTTGCGCTCTATTCGGTAGTTTGTTGGTGCTTCTAATCACGCTTCAGAGCTTAAGGTCGTATGGCAAGGCCCCCAGCATCTTCTCTACATAACGCGACACCTGACAAGGTTGTCAGCTCTCCTAACTTTTGTTCACCTTCGTCCTCAATGAAATACTGAGGCAGATGCTGGAAGATTTTCATCCCATCGGTGTTCAGTTCGTTGCTGGTGAGACAAAATCATGATCAACTTCAGCGATAAAGAAAAAGCATAAGTACCGTTGAATAAACTGAAATCCACTACAACCACTTTGAATATCCGCCCTGCATGTGCTAGACAGCCAGGTCTCAAGGGTGGCATGTACAAGGCTACAGTAAGAACTGTGTTGCTGTAGTTAGAAAACACAACTCCTGCGGACGGATATCGTGAAGTATCCTCAGTTTTTGGCCACCGATGTCCAGGAAGTGTTGCTGGTATCGCTTGACGTCGACGAACTCAAAACGGGGTAACTGGACAATGAATAGTTGGTTGCACAGGAGGTACTTTGGAGGCGGATTACGTCCAGAACCATCATCTGTGGTGGCTCGGTTATGCATGGCGAAACGTGGTCTCGTGAAACGGTAGTCTCGTTCCCTATGCATTTTTAAGATTGATGCAAACTGCGAGGTGGACAAGGTGTGACTCAGCAGACCGGTGGAAAAGAGATTACGAGGTAACTTTAAATTGATTTCTCAAGAATTCATTCATGGAATGAGTAACCCAAGTAGCAAGATATACAGTCCGAAGCGGTGGGGGTCAAACTGGATTTCATTCTGGAACTTAGGACAGGTCGGGGAAGTACTGACTTTCCATAAGATAGTGATGAGCACTGGCAAAAGGTAACTATGCGCTTCGGATCGTGGTTGACAACCACACTATGAGACCAATTAGGCCAAGATGTGACCACATTTCAATGAGCCCTTGGATAAGATAAATTTGGTAAGAACGTTTGGAGATGGTGGAACATCTCTAGCTAGCTAGTGAATGGTAACAACAGATGGGACCAGACAGCAGCGAGCCCGTTCCTTTCTAGTCCGAGAAGCTAAAAGGAACTCACATGTCTGTGCATGCAAATGTGTGACCCGAACTGTGCCGGTGATCGGGCAGCACTGTTAGCTGTGTTCGAAATTATGGTCACTGTGAATCATTGTTTCAATTTGTATAAGCTGCTGAATTTGTAAGCAACCGTTTAATCAACCGAATTGTTATACCGGTATTCAATCCAGCATGCCTGAATTCCTATTCGGTGGGTTAGTACGACCCTATGGGTGAGGGTCGTTCTTCCCACAAGAATTAGTGCCAGTCGTCATTCAGGCAGGTGCGATCTTGATGGTTAACGCCACCCGGTATCCCTGTTGCGTTGAGATTCAACAATGAACTGTGAGTTGTAAAGCAGCCCTATTGGAGTGTCAAACTTTAAAAAAATCAGCTGTTCAAGGTGCTTGTTTGTATCTGCGACAAGTCATGGAACCTCGTTAGTTGTAAAATAGGCTACCACGACTGCCACTGTCGACTATGTTTCACTTTAGCGCCAACCAACTAACAAAACCACCCACCTTTTGTGTTGCTATTAAGCTGTATTCGGGTTTTCACAATGTCTTAACTCTAAAACACAGAACTATTTCGCCCTTTTTCAGAATCACCTATATGCACAGGTAACGTGTAAGACTTGGGACTAGATGCGGGGGCTCAAGTTCATTTCTACGCCGTGCATCATCCCTGGTAATTGCTCTATGAAAACAACTAGGAAAGTCGATAAAAATAAACGCAGCGAAATAGGAATTGTCCTCATTGAGTGCAGGTTCATTCGACTACCAGTCACCTGTGAGCACATGATCGACTTCCGGGTTCGGAGCTCGAGAAATGACGAATTGACGGGGCACGCACTGCCAAGAAGGCTAAGTCAAGTGTATAGTGCTTCCTGGTTTTCGGTAAGGGTTCAGAATACTCAACGCCATGAAAGTAGCGGGGATTAAAACTAGTGCAGATTCCGTGACCAGTGACACTCCTTTGAAAATGTCACCGTCGTGTTATTAGCTCTAGATGGTTGACCTCCGAAATTCGGCCAAGATCAGGACTCAATAGTCTTGCTGATGAACCTACGCCGGTTTGCACATTTCAGTTAGTCATCCATAGAGTATCAATTTTTCCAGAGCAATTTGATACGTGTTGGAATCAGAACATGAGATTCTGCCCATTTATGACTGCTTCATCCGTCCGCATTCTCGCAAACAACGGCTCTTAACGTATCAAGCTTGCGGATGTCAGAAGTGACTTCCTATGATCAAAGTTAAACCACAGCCAGATAGAGAACGTCATATGGGTACGGTGTTGATGTGGTGTCAACAATTCAGGCCAACCATTTACTTGAAGCGGACACTTATCATCATCAGCAAAATCGCTGCCACCTGGGTCCACAGAAAAGGTACCGCAAGCGACTAGTATTAACACATACTGGCAACTCATATCCCAACGGTTCAGGTTTACCCATCTGGTTCGGCAACGAGTCGGGCGTACTGATATTCCTAAAGCCATCCTCAACTGCTTGGCCTTGCTCTCCCTGGTTTACATTGGATAGATTTGCACACAGTTCAGCAGGGATCGCACAGTGCCGGGAAAGAAGGCTGGAAACGGACGTAAACCCATCGGATATGTTGGTAGACCAACACAGATATTAGTTTCCGTGTCAAACTGACCACTGCGAACTGAAAGATGCCCGCAGAACCGACCTACATGAGAAATGTAGATATTTTTTACGCTCGGGTGAGACTGAATAAAACCGATCTAGATATTTTACCCCTTGTTCACAACATTATCAGTGTGAACAAGTAACTCCCACTGGATTAAGTCCGCTGAAATTCGCTGTATTTCGTACGGATAGAAAGATGGGTTTGACAGTAGGTCAGGATTACCAATCCGAGCCTACCTCCACGTTCGGTTGAGTACATACTGGGAAACGGGACTACAGTAAACTTTTGGTCTAACAACCTTCCGAGGATGGCCATACATGGCACTGACAACGGATAAGGTCTCTGGAGAGCATTGTTCCGAGCCAGTTTCGGGGAAGGTCAAGCTCTGTCGAGCGCAAACCAGTTTTGGTTTGAATTACGGACATCAGATACAGAAATTGGTGGCATGAAAACTTCAAGACGAACGCTTTAATCGAACAGAAGCCCCAAGTTCAACCTGCCCCGGTGCATTGCTGCGAACTACGGGTCGGATTAGCCGTACTCAGCCCAATTCGAATGAATTCAGAATGACTTGATCCTACTCCACGTCAATTCCACCCTCACCGAAATCATTCAGTCATGCTCACTAACCAAGACTCATTCCAGTAAGAAATCACCGCACTGTTCCAGGTTGTTACTTCATAAGGATTGCCTGTCAGGTTCTCATGCTCTTGAAGCCAACTGTCATAATTAGCAGTTAGAAACGGGACCAAAGGTGCGCCTGATCTACAGATTCCAGCGGTTTTCAAAAGTTATGGGTGAGGCTCGCATTGAAGGGAACTCAACTCAACAGTACCATGACACGACATTCCCGGCTGCGATACGCATGACAGAGACGTGTTTTATGAGATGTGGCTCGTGTCTGATAACAGCATCACCTAAGTAACAATGAGGTTCGCCTAAATTTCCACATTCCAGAAATCATAGGTTTAAGAAACGCGGTTCCATGTCGTCGATCAAGGTAGCTGGGCCCACTCTGCGTATGGTCGACCACGAAACACGACACAGAACACTATTGGGGCATCGCAGCTGATGCTGAGGAAGGGATATTTTGACACCGAAAAGGGATCACACATTCAACCGAACTGCAGAAAGTTTATGGATGAAAGTACTCGATGATACGGTCAAAATCACTGTATGGTGAACGGGATGTTCACCTAACCTAATTGCAGCAGATCGACAGACACAAGATTAAATAAGCCGCATCCTTCAATCTCGAAAGCTATCCACAACAACCAGAACTGGTGAATTGGCCAAGACCTACAGTCACAGCCCACGACTGGGTCTGACAAGATCAACCGTGATTACTCCACGGCTATACGTATACACAGTGGTTTCTAGTCGGCCTCTAGTACGAATTCGGTATCGCCGTCCTACGACGTAAATTTGATTGATTAAGTTCCAACAGGAGACCTAGTACACAACAACCACCCGAAAAACGGAGGGAATAGCCACTGTCCGTGTAGAATACGCACATGATATTGAACGAATATGGTGCAGGGGAGGAATAATCGAAACAGGGAGAAACAGTTGGAAAACTAAAGTTCAAAACGGGGCTTGGGGGTCATCGGCATGAGGACAGCACACAAGAACTGGTATTTGCATATGTAATTAAGTGCGCTGGCGCGGTCGAATGCAGTGGACGAAGATGAGAGGGAAATTTACGAAGCAACAGACTCAGAGACCAAACCGTTGCCAGGACTAGATAGAGCATCGGCATTAGCAGCGGAGTCAACAGCTTCGCCTGGTTCATCTCGGTCAACCGGCGAGTCCGGTTCAGGGGGTTCCTGATCGTCTGTTTCGCCAGAGTCACCGGCACTATAACCAGCATGGTCTGCAGCATCAGTGTCATTCGTTTCTTGTTCAGGATGGCCATAGTTCGCTTCTTGGTAGCCTTGATCAGCTGCCTGCGAGGAATCTTCATCCGGTGGTTGTTGTGGGCCTGGATAAGCAGGCAATGGTTGTTCTTGGAACTGCGCGAGATACTGCTGCTGTTGGTGTTGAAACTGTTGCTCCATTTGTCGTTTGGCCTTCAACTGTGCGACAAACTGATCTAGTTCTGCTAAGTTATCGTCCGAATCAGCGCGCTTCGCGTTGGTCAGTGGAGCGAGAGGCGGGGTCTTTATGCGTGCACGAGAAATTACCCTAGGACGAGGAAAGCAGATGAAATTGAAGTAGGGAATTTAAGCCATCAAACGAATGGCCGAAATCGTTTGGGAATTAGATTTTGGATTTAAAAAAAGTTGTGCAGTCAATGCAAAGGGTCGAATTTAATTGCCATTAACAAGACAATGTATTCAAACTCGTGAAACTAACCTCCCCCGATTACCAGGGCGTACAGGAGATCGGGAGCCTGAAGATGAGCGCACACCTCTGGAAAGGGACCGAGACCTGCTCCGTGACACGCGAGAACGTGACCGAGAATTGGAACGAGAACGGGAAGAACGAGGGGAGCGTTCGGTTGAACCATGCCGCCGTCTACGTCGATCATAGCTACCACCTCCTGGTGGACCATCCCGTCGACGATCATCAAACCTATAAAGAGAACGAAGAGGACGCCTCACAACCTGATCACATAAATCGCAGTGATGTGGAGATAGCCACTTGCAAAGCTAAAAACCCACCGGTTCGGATACCAGTTGGGTCTTCGACCACGATAGTCATCCCACTGCCCGCGCCATCGGGGGGCTGCGCGTCCACGTCCACGACCAAAGTATCCTCCGCCACCACGACCACCGTAGTAATCGGGTCGATGAAATCCTCCGCGACGATCGAAGTTTATGGGACCTGAACCACCACCCCGCCAATGACCTTGGAATCCACCGCGAGGAGAGTCACCAGGGGCAAACTCTTCATGCGCATTGAACGATCCTTCTTTGACCTTCTCAGGCCCAGGCACCAAATCTGTCTCTGGTGGACAGGAACCATCTTCTAACTGATGTCGACGTTCAATTGCACGAAGACGAGCTTGAACACGTTCCTGTAAACTTTTAGAGGTCATAGGCAGGTCGTTTTCATTTTCGTGCACTGTTAGAGAGCCGTATTCACCCGGACGAGCATTTTGTGGAGGTGTGAAAACCTTAACAAAAAGGACAAACATGAACGTCAGCTATTCGATATTATTAACCGGTGCGAGAGACAATGGTTGTCGGTAGGCCTCGCCTATCGAGATCAGTTCGGGGCCGATAACACAGAAGAGTAGACCTGGCGATTCGCACCAAACGAACACCCACAGTACCCAATCTACTAGGTGCTCGCTGCCAAAAAACACCCCGCGCACGGGTTGGAAAGATTTTTTTGTAGGCAGCAAAAGATCCTTAACACCACAATAGTCACCTTCATATTCACAATCGGAGGACATCTGTGATCGCCCCAACTGTGCTTCCGACGTCATCAGTGAATGAGACTATAGCAGCTTGTGAACTGCTGTACAAAGTGTATCTGGTTTGAAGCGAAAACTTAGAGCCCACAAACCATTTGCTAAGGCGTTGTGTTAAACACGAAAAGCAAACTTACTCGGCGGGTGCCACGATGATCTCCTTCGGGTTCCAAACGTCCCCGTTTGGAACGATCGTAAGCTAAGTGTAAATAAAAAGAACACGATCGATCACTAGGTGTCTTTGGCTACTGTTCTGCGGTAACAGACACGCCAAGCCACAACATCGAAACTAAAATTGCCAAGCGGATGGTGAAATTGACTATTCTAGGCCTGTTTTTAATAATGTTAGTGCCTTCAGAACACAAACGCTAATGAAAACTATGTGCAGTGGAATGTATGTGGACGACCACGAAAAGTTTGACTGCGTGTAAATCGCTTGGCCGCAGGCTACGACTGAGACTCGAGGTCAATGGTTCTCCGTTAGCGTCCTATAAGTTGATAATCTGGCTGTGTTAGAAAGTTTCGGTACGTGACAGCTGTGACAAATGGATGGGTTGATCTACCTATTCACAACCACTAGTGACTTAGAACATAGCTATTCAAATGCTAAGCTGGGACAAGGTCCGTCATTCAACTAGTCAAGGGACAAGTGCTTTGAATGTGACTGAGTGCGTAAAAGAATAGACATGTTATGATTTGATAAACAATCTCGAAAGTGTCCGCTCCTCAAAATCCGCAGTTCCACTGAAGAATGACTGCAACGAACGGTAGTAACCAAGGTGAGGGAGGGATCACTTACCATCATCATCATGTGCTCGCTTCCATCCTCCATCTTGCCTGCATAGAAATTAAAGAAAGATGAAATCATGAAACCCTTTTATTCAAGAATGAGGCTCGGCATGCACTCGTCCGATGCTGTTAATTTGGATTAAAAGATAGGAGGCACACATACATGACAAAGTTGAATGGAGACGAGAGATAGGATATCAGCTAACTAGGGTTGCTGTATTCAGGTGAGACCCGTTTTCAAGTCTGAGACACATGGAATGCACCGCTTATCCCTGTAATTTTAATGGAAGGATTTCGAATCCTAGAGAGGGCGAAAACCACCGGTCAGTGGACTCAAGTCTATTCCACTTTGCGACTGCGTTTTCGCCAGATGCCTTAGCACAATTGAGGATGAGCAGAGAGCAAACGCATTCAATGGACAACACGAAGAATAAGTCTTAGTCTTAGAGAAAGGACAGGCAACGATGACACCGCGAATCATTCTCGGCGCAGTGATTAGATGAAACAACCTTTCGAAATTTAACAACCATGATGACGATGCTGTTCATCCGGGTCTAGTGAAAGTGCTGCTTCTTTGCTAATGGCATTCGGTCGTGCGAAGGCTAGAGGTACACGCCCACACAAAAGTCACTCGTAAAACTCAGTACTCGTGTCTGATAGCCACTGCGCTTCCATGTGCATCAGTTCCAGGAAGCGAAGTGCCTGAGGCTGGCTTAGCCAGAATAGAAGTTTGGTCCATACATACCTGAAAACTGGTTTTATCGCAAACCAGACATCTTGTTAAGCCGAATATTCGTTTTTGAATCAAAATCTACCCACCGCTTCATGTATCAACTCTTCACACCGGGCCTAACACTGCGTCAGAAGATGACCCTGGAAAACAGAGATTAGATGTGCTCGAAACACGACCACATCCTCCATTACACGGACGTCCGTGTTCTGGAGAATAGTAGCAGCAACAGTAACAGACAGTGCTCAACAAGTTATCGCAATAAACGCGTTGAACGTGTTCAATATTCCTCGAAATAAGAACAAGTTATACCAAAGCCACAAGCCCTGGTGAACCAAGTATGAAGAGGAGACTATCTCAGTACAGCTGGACGTAACAGAGCTGCGGAAGCAACCCTTTGTTTCCCTGGAGAACCTGGTTTCGATGAACTTCAGACAATGACGGCCGGCGGATTAGGACCAGATGCGCGTTTGTAACATGCTGTTCCAGCACCAAAGAATACAACTGCTTGGGTGTATCCAAACGATGAACGAACGTACAGCCGTATAGACCACAGAGTAGTCAATAAACAATGCTTCATCTGTAGCACCCATTCAGTGCCTAGCTGATCCCCCCCCCCAAAGGAAGTACGAGGGTCGAAATACTGCAAGGCTACCTAGGCCAACACGAGAGTGGTAGAGATATCGATGTTGGGTTCCAACCACGGATCCTCCAGTCAGCAGGTTTGAGCCTTGTACACAGACTGATTTTGTTGATTCTCTTCATTGAAGACGCATCTGCTGAATCAACACAAAGAGGTCACTTGGCCATTGCGTCGAGTGGTAGCGTCAGTGAACTGAAATGCTGTGACGTGTTCAGCTCCACGACCTACTTCAGCATTGATGATCGGGTGTCACCACCCTACTCCAGCGATGCTCCGAATACATCGATCATCATCATTATCAGCTGTAATAACCGCGTACTGGTCGTACACTGGTTGTAGCTGCCACAGTTTCGTTCACCGATAATTGGGGGGGGGGTAAGTAGCTGTTGCACGCGCGAGCTGGTAAATTGGTGCATAAATCCAGCACTGTCAGTGAGTTGTCAAGCGGGGGGGGGGAAAGAAGCTATGCATTGAAGGCAATAGCTTGGATGCACGAGCGCCACTGAGGGCGCGACTGGGCCATGTCTGATAATGTCTCTAGCCATTGATGTGGCCCGTCTCGGGGTCCCCATCCAGGAAGACGGCAGTGACCAGCGCAGCTGAGTTTGCTGGTAATGGCCTTCATACTTCGCTGCCAAGTCATTGTTTGACCGCCTCTGGCTCTCTTCCACCCTTCACATGGTTGGGCGAAAAGAGCCCTTCGAGGAAGTCGGTCGATTGGCATACGCAGCACGTGGCCGCTGCGCGTCTAGTTTCTGATCCGTATAGTAATATGGAGCGGACCGCAACATTGTGAACTCCACTGTTGATGGATACGCTGATGTCACGCTCACGCTACAAATGATGCAAGTTCACAAAAGCCGCTCTGGCCTTCCCTATCCGGATGGAAATATCTTTCACGAGACTACCGGGACTTATACAGCTGTCCAGGCATTTGGTACTCCGGTATACGGAATACAGGCGCTAACCAGCGTAACCTACGAAACGTGGCTAACTCATCCATTGTCCGAGTTCCTTGTTTTCCAAAGAGATCTTGGCGTACCCCAGCACTGCTAATCCCGTGTTCTCGCCAGACCCGAAAAATGCTTCGGGGAAACCGATGGTCAGACACCGAAAGTTTTCGTACGTCATCTGCACGCTGAGGCCACGTTTCTGACATATGAAGTAGTGTAGATCACACTGCCAATGAAAAACTCTATCGTCGACAGACAAACTGTCACTCCGGTGCCTCGGTTGTGGAGGTTGGCTGTCCTGATCTTCCAGATTCGAGAAATATTTTCATCTCAAGCCAGTTCACGGGAACATATACCGCTGCCAAGGTAAACAATTTTACCTACTAAGTCGATTACTGGTGGTAGTTTGTGGGTGAATGGGGGGGTGGGTAGATGAGAGCCCGTAAACGAAAAGCTGCAAGGTCGGACGATACTTTCCAGTTACCCAGGAAAGGAGGGGGGTTGGTCTAGGTGCCCCAAATTGACCCTTTGACTCAATGGGAACAGAGAGGGTTTTCTTTGGTGATCCTCCCTCTAGCCTGACTCAAAAGTACGAAAAGAGAGGTGTTCCAAAAACGCATGCTCGGAATTAATGATCCAACTGCAAGCATGAGGCTGAGCTGACCCGGGGATGCAAGGAGTAAGACAATTATCTGACCCCTGACGCGGCTGTGCACAGCAGTACTCGGTAACACGCCGGCGTTCATGGTCAGAGTGCACTCATAAAGTTATGTGAGCCAGAAACCTGACTATGTGAGCTTAAGGCTCCGGGAATCTTAGTATGGGACCATGGGTGTTTCTAAAGCATTGTTAGATTTTGAACAAGCCAAGTAGTTTAAGGACAGACGCGGAGTTCATCCCTGACCATGTAACCTACAAAACGACATAAAAACCTGTGAATCGTCACAAGTGTTGATTAAGCACACCAGGAAGATGGACTTTCAACAGAATAGCATTGTGATATTTCATGTTTCTATTCACTTACAGGACGAGTCCTGAAATCCAAGCTGTCCGATTCAGGTAATCTTACTAGTAAGATTTTACTAGTAGTAAAATTCTAATAGGTGAGTGTTGATTCTCCCTGTATATCACCGGTGAACAGCGTTAATTTTCTGTGCTCTGACTACTCACGAGTAACGTGACTTGCGTCCGTTTACCATAACGCCGTTTTGTTGCCTTGCTGTCCGCTCCCCTCCATTCCGTTCCTACTTAAGTTCTGCTTATTCCACGGTAACTGAAGTCGATATTTGTTGCTTGTCCGTGATTGCTTACAAGTTCGTCTCAGTTGTACCTATTTTCGAGCGCCCACTCTGACAGAAAAGCGGACCGACAGGGAATCGAAAGCAGAGCTTCAGCAGGCGAACGCACTGTCCAGTACACCAACATGACGCCCACATCTAATTTTTGTATTACCTATATATCGCACCGGCCAGATAGCCTTTCGCGACGGACCAAACCGCGCAATCTGATTTGTCACGAGCCGCTATATCACACCATCAACCAAAGACAGTCTCTTACCTCCTGACGTATTGACTTTTTTCCGCTCCGTTATCTCCACACGGCCAACTCACACTGAGACTGTCCGTTTGTACATCGTTTGGTGCTTACTTACTGTTGTTTCTAGAAATCCCTGCTATTACACTGACTATTTTCCGCTCCTGCTGATTGCTCCATTATTGATTGTACGTTTGCTTAATTCGCGATACTTACGTACCCGTTTGTCTATAGAACCAGTTCCATCGCCTGTCTGCTCCTATTGTCCACTAACTAAGAACTGCGTATAAACTGATAGCCGCAATCGTCCTGTAAGATCCTTAGCCGCTCGAATCTTAGTGAGCCGGAAGTGCTCCATGGATGGAGCTCACTTGATTATAGTCGTCGACGATCAGCTGGCTGGCGACTCCGGGGAGCCGATTCTGTCAACATGTATCGGGTGGAAACAGTTTAGATAAAAGCAGACTGGGACTGCTGCTATAATCAGCATTCAATCAGGTCAGTAGATGAGGCTTCCGTGAATGCAACACGGAAGCATGCAAGTTCAATCCTGAACGAGATTGGAGGTCTTGGCTACATCACCTAAAGAGGCACATGCACTCTGGCTACAGCCTATAACACAAGACTGACAATTGCTATCGCCAAAATATTCACGGGACAATGAGAAAGCGTAATTCACTACGGATAATTCTTGTGTCCGCGAACAACTATGGCAGAACCAGTTGTATGTCCACCAAATTGAAATATTAGGGACACCAATGGAGGTAAACGACCCCACACCGCTATACACTGGATGGGGTGTGAGTTGGACAGACTTAGTTCCATGCTAATATTCACGATGCCATTAGTCTAAGAGATTGGGCACATTTTCTCGAGATACACAATACAAATTATACGTAAGTGAGACAAAACATAGCATCTTGAAAAAGTCGGCTGACGAGAGAAACGATAATATAACTTACCGACCACGATCTCCATCACCCATATCATCATCGTCTCTGCATCGAATAATGCGACCAGACTAAAAAAGAAAGCAGATGAAATGACGGTGAATGGGTGAAATAGGAAGTCAGCCTAACCCCGAAGAAAAAGTCGAAATACTGCGGCAAGAGCATACATCCAACAACTGCTGTGAGTTACATGTCTAGTCACAAGGTGTCAACCCTCTGCTGTGCTGTGTTCTTCAATGAGTGAACTTTGATGAGATTCGCGTTACCTAGAGGCTGCATCCTTATTGTTGTCAACCGTTTCCATTTGATCGGTGAAATTCTGATTTCAGAAGAATGAGAACTGCCGTGACGGCTTTCTTCAAGGTGTCTCTTAACTCCGTAACAAAAAAGGGAATTACCACAACCGCTTTGGCCTTAAGGCATCAACCGGGTGAGGACGTCAAACAAAGGAGTGTCAATGTACGAAACTTATTAGCTGTATCACTTTGGCGTCCTAAGATACCACCGTTGATAGTTCCAATCATACACGTCATGTTTGCTGAATCACAAACGTGGAGTGGAACGCGCAAACTTGGCATAAACAACTCAAGAGTTAATCAGGAGAAAACGCAGCCCAACTATTAGAGAGGAATACCAGCATCCACTGTCCATTATCCTCTCAATACATCCGCAATGAATAGTCGTTCAGCTGCAGCACCATTTCGGTGCCTAACTGCCATGCCACCAGAAGGAAGCACGACGGTTGGGATACTGCCAGGTTGTCCAAGCCTATACGGGGGAAATCGATGAGGAGGTTGAGTTCGAACCACGGACCTTTTAGTGAGTAAATTCACGCTCAAACCACTGAGCCATTTCGCCCCTCACATCCGCAATCACGGGTTCAAATTATAAAAACCCAGCTGCAATGCCGGACAGACAACAAAAACAGAAAGGGAGAAATAAAAATATGCAATAATATTGGGAGAAGACTCACCCGATTGCGTGTAATCACAATCTTCGGTAAATCACCACGGTGATCCATATTGTTTTTTTCCGTATGACTGCCGGATTTCATCTGTATCGTATATACATACACATAATAGAACGAAGCATCCATATGTACGAATCGATTTTTGTTTAGTTTTTTTTTACACTCGATCGTTGTGTAGCTGAGAAGCAAACACCCAACCAACTCTCGCACATAATCAACGACCGCTGTGCAACATCGTCCGGTCGTTTCCACAAAGACGCTCATACGTTTGCATATATATTACAAATCTCATGTATATGTGGGAGGAATGTCTGAAATAAGAATCAGATTAGTAAAGAAAAGGAGTTCGCGGGAAAAGCGCACCAAAGCCAATTGGTGGCCAGTTGGAAAGTCATGTTTCGCGATTACACGATATCCTCAACCAACATTTACACGTGTCGTCAATCGGTTGCTGAAAGTAAGAATTCTGATCATCCCGACCACCTACTCGAGTGGCTCGGCAGTAGTGAAGGGCAATTGTTCATGTATATAAAAATTTTCAATCAACCCCAGCTGCTGTCCAATTCGTTTTTTGTTGGTTGCTAAATTCGTTCACTTCGCTTCCGTTAGTAGTTTTTGCACTCTTTTTCGTACTCAAAGGCAATCTCGCCAAAAATATCAAGTGTCACGACTTTCACATTTCAGCTCAATATGACAACCACACACATTTGCAACTCAATAGGTCACGATCAATATCTAAATACGAGAAACAAGAGTTTGCCTTGAAGTAGTGCGTTTCGACGATCCATCGGATCGGTTCGATATACGGAGAGCATGTAATAAGAGACCTGAAAGGGGATGATCGTTGACAAGCGGTACAAAGCAGAGGTTAATGAGGTTACGGGAAAACTCACGTCATCACGGAAATCGGTATTTCGTCTCCTGTCATTTCCACGACCTGAAAAGGACATTAAAACAAGGGAGCCTAGACCGGGAAAACAAATAGTAGCCGATGGTGTATTCCACCAATTTAAAATGAACAGATATGTGCAACATCTGTCATGTGAATCAAACAAAATTATATGGAAAGTCCGGTCACACGGCAGAGTCCGCCTTCAATAAATGGAACTACTGAGATAAACGCAGTCCATTCAACTAGGAGATAGAAAGCACTTGATACGTGCGTGGGATGAGAGTAAGCCAAACGTACCGGGAGAGTAAAAGCCAAGTGGGCTCTGATCAGTACCTTGACCGTGCCGAGTTGCTTCCTTGGCTGCGCGACGCGTACGGTCTTCCTCAACTAACTGCTCCAAAGCAGCACGGCTGCGTTCCATATGAGAGGCATAACCACCTCCTGAACGAGGTCCGCCCGGAGATAGAGGACTTCGCTTTAGACTCGGAGCGTTCCCACGTGAGCTCCGAGGAGAGGGGGTTTTCGACCATGACCGCTGCGACGTGGAATAATAAGAAGCCAGTGTTTATACTGTGGACAACTGAATGAATGCATTGGGACACTATGTGCGAAATGCTAATCGTGAGTCGGGCCGTTCAGTAGCTGACTGATGTGACAGTGACAATCAGGTCAGACCAGAAAGATAAGGACGGTGCAGTTCTGCTCTAACCAGTATCACTAAGGAGACTTCTTAGCAGAGCACCTGGTAAAACTATTCCCCATGGGTGCAGGATACTGAAACCAAAGTAACTAGAAAACTTGAATCCTGGCACTTCCGAATTATGCAAGTTGGGAAGATCTGTTCTAAGGAAACCTCACAATAAAGTGGCTAACTTGAAACAGCATATGGATCAAGCTTTGCTGGCAAATCGAATTTCTGGTATACAGTCGGAACATTATGTAACACCCTTTGCGATGATTGCACTTGAGCTGACAAGGATTTCGCTGTGAGCTGCGAACATCCGGCGTCACTTCAACGCTATGACTTGTAAAGGCACATCGTTTGAAACCCGCCACATCGAGTCCACTTTTATTAATAGAAACAAAAACAACTCAGAAACGTTTTTAGACCTTTCACCGTTCACACCCATCCTCAGTCATGCGGCACTAGCTCATACTGGCGTACCGCTGTCGACGAGGATGTCTGTACGGTTTACTGAAGGTGTGGCATAAGGCTTGCGCCATGACGCCAGATAAAAATTTCGAGTTCATGATTTCAATCTACCCATCAAGACAGAAAACTCACCAGACTCGTATCACCATGCACACCAAGAGGGGCAGTGGCAGGGAGTTCCTTGAGGGCATCACGTGCCTCCACGTTGTCCGGATCTAGCTTCAGTGCTCGGTGCAACATTTGTTCCGCTTTGGTTGGATCTTTTCGACTGATTCTGTAGTAAAATATAAAACATGAGGTTTTATGAGGGATGGATAGGACAGTGAATCATCGGTGACGTCCCACCATCGGTGATGATGACGAGAGCCAGGACCAGCGCTGAAGAAACACGCATAAACCAATATAATGGTTCAGCTATGACACCTTTATGGTGCATAGTTGCAGGAAAAACCACAGAGGAACGAGTACTGAGACAATGCCAGGTTGTTAAAGCTTGGACAAGAGCAATCAAAAAGCGAGGGTTGGACGTTTCAGTCAGTGGTTTCCTGCCCAAAATGAGCTATTTCGAGCTCATCATCAGCGGATGACGGGGACCAAACTCTGCACAGTTGCGAAGGACTTTATCGTATTCGGATAGTAATCGGTTGTAGAGAGTCTTTTGGCTCTCCCAATGAGGCGATCCGGTCATAAATTTGAGCAAAGTAAAATGCCGTCACACTGAATACTGGCTTGTTGGGCAGTTGCAAAACTCCGACGCCAAAAAGTGAGATGAACTACCCCAGGAAGGCATACCACAGGGGGGATTTCTCGTACACCATGTACTGATGAAAAGCCCCAATCGGACATAACGTGGAGTAAGAATATAATGGAATAAACAGAAGCATGGATGACATTCACCTGAGCGACCTGTCAGACAGATACGAAGTTGACCTGAAAGCGTCAAGTGGTGGGAGGCGATGACTGCTCGGTTTGGTGTATAAAGGTGGCTCATCAAGCAATGGAATAAGTGTCCAATAAACTGGAACGGAGGAAAGTCACTAGGTGTAACTCACTCTCCAGCATAGGCGACCAACGTCTGACCCAAATAGTTTCTCGCATTCGCGTGGTTCGCCTGAATCTCGAGACTTTTCTCTAGGTCGTCTATGGCCTTCGAGTACGTACCAATAGAGGCATACCTGGAGGTAACAAGAAAAAGTCGATGGGATCAGTTCACGTGCTCAGCAGAAAACCAAGCAACGTTACATGAATACATTTGAAACGATGTGTACCTGGAATAGCACCAGCGCCACTGTACGACGGTCAGCGATATGGAAGTTCCCGTAGCTGTGAATGTGTAGGATCGCTACGGTGCTGCGGGTAATCCAAACTGAGATGAACCATTAGGATCCTTTACAGAAAGTCGTTCGGCTGTAACATGCCATCCGAAAGAAGGGTTAATTTAAAGCTGGATTGCCCAAGTCTAGACAGGAGCAGTCGAAATGCCGGGGTTGGATTCAAAACCAGTAGGTTCGCATCTTAACTACTGAGGTATCTCGAACTCAAGAGTGGTTATTTCAAAAGTTTGAGCCGTGCAATATGTGACTAAACTACGAGAATTCGGTCTTGTTAATCAAGTGTTCCACGATCCAGCTCAGAGGAATAATCAAGCCATACCTATTTTATCAGCTGTTCTCAGTGCCACCCAGGAATATACCACCGCGTAATTTACAGGAGCATTGTGGACAGCTTAACTGGATTGCTGTTTTTTGTCCAGTTGAAGAATGACTTGATGGAGAAAACTTCTCGTACGCCCTTCGACAGGGCACTCGCTACATGAGTGATGCCCAAGAGGAAAATGAGTAGGGTCTATGGTTATCGGTGTGTCGTCACCGCTGGAGATTAATGTGGTCGAGCTTGACTAGACACATAAGACCGCCATTGGGGCTTATATATACACCCTGGTATCCTTCACGTCCGCGGATGAACACCAGAGAACAGCCTAAATGGTGTAAGGCAGGCAAAACGAAGAAAAAGTCCATATAATGAACATCACCATCGAGTGAAAGCATCATGCCTGCATACTAACCTTTGGGAAGATACGCATGAATATTTTGCGTGCCACAAAAACCGCACACCCGAAGTCCTAAGCGGTGGGTTCAACTCACAATGTGATGAGCCAGACCACTCGCTTGATGACCAGAATGGTCATGCATCATGTCGACTGCACCATACCGTGAACCGCAGATGGACTGTGACCGATTAGAATATTGGCAGATAAGAATCAAACAGCAAAGAAGTTCACAAGGACCTTGGAGATTATTCTGTAACTCTCCACACACATACAACCCTAGCCATGTCATCTGGTTCTATCAGATTCTGTTATCAGGCACCACGATATTATACCGATGGCCGCGAGTGGACGTTCAGTCAGATCCCAGAATATCGGGGAACGAATCAGAGGCGTGTTACTTTAGAAATCTGGTTCAAAGTCCGCTAGAAAGTCAAGCTCATACGCTGTTCAAGGCGCGTATGATGTTTCCCATTCACTTTCGTGCCAGTAGATAACTGAACAGTGCACCGACATTCGCAAGCAACTTATCTCATTTATGCCATCTTTCCGTTTCTGTATATGATCCAGCTCGTGCAGCTCCCACCGAGTGGATGTCTAGTTCGTGCGACCACAACAGCACCTTGAACCGGACGGTAATTCGGGTGACTAACAAGATAGTCGTTTACGACAAGCCATGAGACGTCAGCTAGTAGAAGACAAAAGACAAGAGTTGCATACGTACAACACCCTGTTCCGTCAGGGCAGACTGCCCGCGCCAAATATACAAGCGTATGCACACTCGAGTGTGCACGAATGTATAGACAACCATCGTCGACAGTTAAAAACGTTTAGTGCCAGAATAACAAATCAGCAACTTACAGTGCGCCCCTTGCGACGTACGCATCAGGATTTGTAGGTTCTACCTCGATGGCGAAATTGTAACACTGGAGGGCTTCAGTGTTTCTTCCCTCTTTGAAATACTTCACACCTTGCGCAACGCTGAAAGTTAGGAAGGCTGAATTCAACAACTGTGACCCGCAATATGATTCGGCGGCTTTAGTGCAGCAAATAGGTTTCCCCGGATAAAAAAACAAAAAGCGAATGAAGCAACAGCCCAGAAAAACTTACTGCTTCATTGAGAAGTTCAACAATTGCGTCCGTCTCAACTCGCATGCCATTTCGGATTTCGGTAACCGAATCCTACAATGGAAGCAGAGGGACATCGGGGTCAAAATAGTGTTGGGAGCGGGATCATCATCACCGATAGCATGACGTCCGTGTTCAAACACTGACACTTCGCTGCTGCACAAACATAAGTTGAGCCTTACTATTAAGAAAAGAACAAACTCGGAAGGGGAGGCGGCTAAGTGCTGGCCTAACGAAATAAGTTCGTTGATGCCGTCCAACATCCCCAACGCTTTTGAGGCACTGGTGGACAAAAACCTGGAGCTTCACATTCATTTCGCAGAGCCTGTTTCGTAACCATACAACAATACCGCCCTTACTGTAGCCTGATGTCACCAGTGACGACCCAGTAATTACTAGGATCGATCCAGTCGATAAATTAGGCCGTTTCCTACCACTGTATTTAGTCAAAATTCGACCTCTCCATTCGAATTCCGCATTGCATCTCATCACTCCATTATCACCGGATGCTTGGCATCGGTGCTTAAACATTGAAACTTCACTGCTGCACAAATATAAGTTGAGCCTTACTGTCAGGAAAACGACAAACGTGGAAGGGGGAGCGGCTCAGTTATAGCGTAACACTCGTTCAGAAATGCCCACATCTCCAGATACTCAATCACAACGCCACCGATGACCACCAGCACCCATAGCTTGTAGCGTCTCCAGCCATACACTGGGAGGAATCACACCGATCCCATCCTGGAAGGCCAGTTATACCGACAGCACATGGTCGATTTCATACCCCTCTGCCAGGTCAAAGGCCGGTAACTTCTCTGCTTGCGCCAATCTGAATTGGGCACGAGAAACTGAACCCTATTCTACAAACGATTATTTGACATGTGCACTATACGGTCTTACCAGTGGAGCTTCTGCTGCTAGACACATTATTCCACGGAAGTCCTCGTTCCACAACCGGACACGCTCCTCCTAATATCCTTGTTGCGAATTCGCCGACGCCAGCTTACGTGAATAATGGTTCTGAAACAACAGTTGTCGAAGTTTCGCTGCCCAGAGTCCACTTCGCACAACCATACAACAAAACAGCCCCTACTGTATTCTGACACACCTACCCATTGGAATTAAGGGATACACCGATTTGCGGCTACGCAACCCGAGATTCGTTAATTTACCGCATCTGTAACACCACAATCAGAACTAATCCAACTTCAAAGCTATATAAATCGACCTGAAATCTCAGGTGATTCACTGGATTGCAATTGGCACGCATCAGTCGCTGCATGTCCAAGGCTGCAAAGCACATGCTACAGGACGGGATACAGTTGCCCAGTTCATCCAAAGACATGCGTTTCCATCGCCTAAACCCGTGCTGTAACCTGATACACATGTCTCTTGAGATTCAGGGTTTGCCGACTTTCTGCAATACGTGCCCGAAATTAGCAAATGTGACTCAAGCCTTGCAGCTTCGTGAATTCGCCTTATACATCACACTACACTAGTCGAAGTGGTTAGTTATCCTATATCGACGACAATGACCATTAAGCTTCATTATCCGTTTAATCTATGAATCATTGAAATCGCCGATCAAAACAAAAGCACCAAACTGGGTCAATTATCAAGAATATCCAGTAATAATGATAATAACAATAATAACCAGCAAAAACGGCGTCCAGGTGTACGCTGGTCATAACCTCCAGTTTATATGGAGGCAGTGGCTGACGTAACTGAAGCATGAATCCAACACTGAAAGTGAACTCTTCACTGGGATCGGTAGGTGAAACTGCACTAAAAGCGCCGTTGGGTGCGTGACTGAGCCAGTGCCTCTCGAAAAAACGTTCAGCTGTAACAGCCTTTCGGTGCCTAGCTGCCATGCTACCCGAAGGAGGCACAACGGCTGGGATACCGCCATGTTGTCCAAGCCTAGACAGGGGAAGTCGAGAGGCAGATGTCGGGTTCGAACCACGGATCTTCCGTCAGTAAATTTGCGCTCTAACCACTGAGCCATCTCACCCGCCAGTGCCTCAAACCATTGGAGTCTTCATCCGGGTCAATGCTTGACGTGGCTCGGTTGTGTTGCACCTGAGAGAGTCAGGTTGGATTCGAACCACGAACCTCCAATTCAGGCATCCGCGTTTACTCACAAATATTGTGGACGTAGACGATACAGCTATTCTTGGATCCGATGCCAGACAGTAATAAATGAGTAGGTAATTAGTGTCTGCATTATCATGACATCACATCCAAGAGCTCTGTCACCTGTGCATCCGATATTTGTAGGCGAGCACCCTGTGAACATTTCGGCACCAAGGATGTTGGAAACGGGGAGTGCATCTTCCATGATAATATCGATGAACTTGAGGAAATACGGAAGAGGCCACCCTTCTCTGGCACCACTGGGTGTGGTGAACTGACGCAAGAGCTCACCATAGATCACACACACACACAGGAGTTGGCGTACAAGGTTTTAAGGATTAAGAATTTATGAAGAGAGGGCCTTTGCCTCATAAACAGTCATAGTGCCCGACGACCAAGAGTCAAAATAAGCTTTCAAGTCAAGAAAGACGACAATGGTTGAGAGCTGGAAGCAGTGTCGCTGTTGGAGGCTGGATATGTGACTATGCATCCTCCTGCAGGACAGAGACCAGGTTGGTTATAACGAACCTGCCTCTGTGCTCAGTCAAGCTCCGAAGGATGAGACCAGACTGCACCTATGACGCCACAATTACAAGGTTAGTGCCACAACGGTTTTCACTACAGGAACCCCTGTCGATATGCCCCACTCTGCAAGCATTTTCTTTTCACTAAATATAGTATAACGTTTTCACGGGAAGATAACAAAATATTCTCCACTTTCTTTGAAGGGACTAGGTACAAACCGCCCGGTCTTCGTGCCTTCTCACTTTTTAGGAGGGGTAGTTCCTAATAGAGCTGTTCTTCCGACGGCAATTGAGGTTTACGTCCCACTCGCCAGCATGCACTCTCCCTAACGACTGTAGCAGGAGGCCAGTTAGAGTGTAGTTCGAAGTACTCGGCGAATCTTTCTGATCAGCACTTTCGCGAATGAATTACTGCGTCGTTGTTTCACTTATCGTTTCATTGGGTTGTTTTATTTGACAGTTCATCGTATCAAGTGGTATCGGGTTCGGTTTCTGGTGGAAAAGTTTCTCTCATCTTATCCACTTTCACTGTTCAATGAAGCTCTACCTTTCCCTGAACCCTCCACTATTCGGCGTTCGAGAGCCGTCGTACAAGTTGTCTGCTGCTATGGATATCCTAGCATAATTAGGACTAGGGACCTAGATTATACCCACTTTAGTGTCCGAGCCCACACCGATACCGCTAAGTTATGGTGGTCTCCGAACTAACATACCTGAACAGGAGTTCAAATGCGTCTTCCAAAACAATTGGAAAGGTGCACGAACAACCACCAGATTACCTACAGTGTTAAACTTCTTGGCCAATTCAAAGTATAGGCCCAACCTAAAGTAATCACCCAACTTACTTATTGAAACAAGTCAACAAGCTGCACGCAGAGGAGCGAGGTATTCCCATGCGGGCACACAGAACCTGCAAACCATCCGGGTTTCGAAATTGCGGGGTGGATTCCAGGTACGCCTCGTAGGATTTTCCATCTAAATTTTGCAACTTTCTAAACGAGGGAAAACGGAGAGAAATTCAGCAAAGACATCAGTGGAGTTACATACATCAAAGGAATCAAAAACCTACAAAGGAAGGTAAACTCACTTGTAGTGCAGAGGCAGATCATCATCTGTGATTAGACCCTAGAAATAAAATAAAGAATACACATCATAAACGGCCTCACAGACCATAATTTATACGACATCAAGGAGGCAGCACATGAACCGAAGGCAGCAATTGTGTGGTCATATTAACTCATAGGGCTGTAGTCTCAAAAAACGACAAAAAAAGCAAACAAGAAAAGAGGAGCATAGCACAATGGACAAGACAATGCTAGAAACACTATGCGAGTCCTGTAAGAAGTACAGTGATAGGATGTATTTCACTTTCAAACAGTGCATCCCCGAAAATCGAATCTTTCAAAAAAATGTTGCGTGCTCCCAACACTACAATTTGAAAGGATAAGTGCACTTGCTGCAAGCAGGTATGATAAGTCTTTCAAACTCACATGTGAACGAGTCCTATGTACTTACACCGTTAAAAAAGGCAGTTGGATACAAAATTGTCTAGGAGTGATTTTGCTGATTTGCATTCTCCAAGAGGGCACCAGGTTCGAGTCTTCAACCTGACAGACACCATACATAGGGTCGATCTTCGGTACAAATCCGTATTCAAAGCATGTCACGTGTATGAACACAAGGTTTGGAGTCGTGATGCAGTTTGGTGTCACAAACGAACTTCAGGATATAATCATATCTCCTCCTTCTGCGCTGTATCGTCATCGTACTCATCGACGGTATTAGGCCAATGATAAACACTGGTGCACAACTGTCAGTGATCGGTCGTACGTAGGCCTAGATACTGTTAGGACCCCCAAACACAGGACGATTCGGGGCCTCAACTAGAGCTCTTGGCTCAAAAGCCTAACCACGAAGGAAAATTGGTTACCATGAGGCTATCATAGTAACCTATCATAGTAACTTTCCGGGAGTGGACTGCCACACTTGCCCCAACCCCCAACCACGGACTGTGGTTGCCAGCAGTCTCCGGAAGCCGCATGAGCATCCTTCAGTGAAGCCGAAGGATGCAAACCACCCCAACACGATAAGATTCAGTCTCTGTCAAACTAATTTCAAGGTGCCAAGATAACTGTTAATATTGCCTACACAATGACTTCGATAGATTGTGCAGATCAATCCCACTAACGACAACCGTAAGAAAATTCGTACGGAAAACATAACGCTGATTTACATATCCGGTTGACAAGGCAAACGGAAATTTTGGTTGTTGGTCTTTTTGCTGAGTGCCTGAATTCACAAACACTTTATCGCGTTATAATCATGCGTGGTTTATATCGTCTGGAATTGTCTTGATCCCATTAGTGGTATGTAAACCCATACACCGATTCCATCTAGCTCGGTGAGGAAATGTTTCCAACCAAGTTGTCCGGCCAAGTACCCAAGCTAAGATACTAACATCATTCGACAGCAAACGGTGATTTCCCAAAATTAATGAAAGATGAATCGAATCAAACGTCTGATACTGCTCTGGAAGACAAATGAAGACAAAATCCTAAGCTGGGGTCTCTACCACGCCAATGTATCATAAGTGAACGAGGCTGCTACGGTGCGTTTGAAGCAATCTCTTTCATTATAGACGAACGAGCAATTATGGGAACAAAAAACATTTGGTCCAAAGGACCGGTAGGTGTACACTGGTTAGTCATCCCAAAAACAGATCGAACATAACCACTACCATGAACAGCAATATGAAGAAACTTCCGGTGCACGACTACCGGAAGCTAGGACACGAATACGGGAAAGGGAAACGAAGCGTTAATATGACTGTGCAGGTAAAATCTATATCAGTAACGAGAACAGTGGCTGATAAGGGTCCATTAGTAAACCTTAACAGAATCTATACACCCCCTCCTCTAGTGTACCGTAATCTAGGGTACGAAGCAGCTTCTAATTTTGTCAAGACTGCTGCAGTTCATCAGACAAGAGCTCGCATGAGTGAGGAAATAATAGAATGGCCGCCGCAGCATGGGAAAGATACTGTAGCCTTGGGTAGACAGATTTCCCATTACTAGATAATTTTAGTACAACTAAGCACATTTAGAAAGGATGGAAAGGTGGCACCTACCAATTTGATATCCCCATATAAATCACGACTCAACATCTTTGAGTTCATGCTCAATATCAGGCGTCCGGTAGCATGCACATCAAGGATGAAAGCTGGAATGAAAAACGATGGACATGTTGAAAAACTGTAACCAATTTCCAGCAAAACTGAAAAGAATCACAGTATTCGTTTCATGGACAAGGGCAATTATCGGTTCTATAAATACTCAGCTGAGGGCGGTTCGCCGCACTTTGGGCGTCCGCGAGTAGAAACCACAAAAATCAACGTTCGACAGAGAAAAGGTGAGGACAACTTATTTAACCATCCTCTTAAGTGATTAGTTTAGCCGTCATTGACATATTCTGCTAAGTCAGTCTTTGCGACCATTTGAGAGAAGTGTTCACGCGATGCGACACGAAAAGCAACTTAGAAGCTATTTGACACGTCATTCAATTTTACCAGGGGACTGTGAGATTACCCTTATTTTGAACGAAGCAACCGAACAAGCTCGAGTGCCAAGCAGCGAGTCATACTCAGAGGCATCAAGTCCAATCGAGCTAGGCATAAGGGAACATCACCCATTCACGCGATGAAACTCACACAGAACAAAACGTACCTCGAACTTTATCGCCAATTTGGAATGAGTCCAACGCATTCCCGTGCGCGTTGTACCGAGGCAACTGACGCAAAGGACAAAAGCCCTACAAACGGAAATAAGATTACCCTCCGGTATGCAGCACGAATAAGAGATGCTTACGACAAATGATTGTGGCTACACTTACGGTGAGTTTGAGACCATCGAAATCTCGTCTGGGCCCTTGGTCATAAGCCAAGATCGTAACAACTAAACCGGAATCCTGAATCACAGTGACCAGACCAACAAGTATGTCATCCCGCCGTGCAGTCTGCAAATAGGGGTAACACAAAAATAGAGAGGATAATAAAGGCAGAACAGAGTTCCGCTGACTAAACAGGTGAATAAGCTGGGTACTAACGTTAAAGAACTGCTCACGCCTGATCTCGTCAGGGACTTCCATGAAGGTTTCTATAGGTGGTGTGACCGCACAAAATGCCGCAGATTGTTCATCCGGCCAAATAGGTACATTAGCTGGTGGAGTTGACGACGCTGGACTTGGATTCGGGGGAAGGCCTAACAATCGCTCCAGATCATTGCCTTCAGCCGGTGGTGGGCGGTGCATCCGGCTGATCACTTCTGCTCGAGAGGATAAAAGGTGTTCCAGCTTGGCGCCGAATGTCGCCCTGAAAAAAAAACAATAAATCAGTCTGAAAAACGGCTTAAAGTACACAGTTCCGGATATAAAGGTTATGCAAACCAAAACCAAAAACGAGTTTCGCGTCATTTAACACACAAAGTCCAACATACATGTACGCAGCTGCGCCTCTGCTACTACATAGTTGTATATTTGCTGTTCCTCATAGCGTTTCGTGAATCGTTGTTATCATTTTCTCGCCATAGCTCGCAGGTTTGGATGAATAAAGCCTAGCTTATGGGCCTTCAGGCTTTTGTCGCCGTGCCCTACAACACATATTGAGTGACGATTACGCCCCCTGGGTAGTTGTCATCTGGAATTCATTGCATCCCATTTCCCTCACTCCTGGACTAAGCTCAGCGAAAATTTTACGTCTCGTTGCTTTTCCTATCCTGACCCATCATCTTCAATCCGTTCTGTCCAAACGTACACTACTTTCCTTTACTGTCGCCACTTCCGTAATAAACGCCCCCCCTGAACTCTCATCTACTACACTAACAAAGTCAACCCTCGTGTAGGCCCCCTACTTACCACATCACTCTAACAGACCGTTATTACGAACCTGTTCACCTCCGCTCGTTTTGAGTGGAATGGCTCCCGTGTATCATGGAGTGTCGTTGTTTCACAGAGCCAACCAAACCTGTATTCTTAATCGGGTGCTCTCAGTCTGCAAACAAGGCACAAGCTAAGATTCATCAGGAAGAACCTCGTGGGTTTAATCCTGGATGAGTGACTCATATTCACCAGCCTTTGCATAGGCCACTGATTACATGCTGGATCGTAGTCATGGGTTACAAAGGTATGTGGATACCGTTAAACATACGGAGCTTTAATATCCTCGTGCTGATGTCCTTCTGCACTGACAGCTCGCTGTGACAGCATGCTCTACAGGACCCTGATCGGACTCAAAATCATCAGACAGCAACGCCAGTTTCGAGACCGATCCTTCACTACTGTACAACCGCTCTAGGAAAAGAGTGGGTGAGACGGGATCTGGTGATGGACTATCGCAAGCATTCAAAGGTTTCTGCACTTCGAAGCACTCAATTAATCTGAAGGAAACTGGCAGCACGAACGCCATTGATATCAGTCAGCCGCCATTTCATGCAACGTCTCCAGCCAGACGCAGGAGGGGTCACGAGGACCCCATCCTGGAAGGCACACAACAGCAACAAACAAAATCTTTGAACTCTCCCACTGCCGAGTCATCGCGGTCAATGATGCTGGATGTTTTCCGTGACTGAAGTACCAGCTACACAAACCGATACTCCTTATCACTACCTCATTGCGAGTTCGTTGATGCCGTCCAACATCCCCAACGCTTTTGAGGCACTGGTGGACAAAAACCTGGAGCTTCACATTCATTTCGCAGAGCCTGTTTCGTAACCATACAACAATACCGCCCTTACTGTAGCCTGATGTCACCAGTGACGACCCAGTAATTACTAGGATCGATCCAGTCGATAAATTAGGCCGTTTCCTACCACTGTATTTAGTCAAAATTCGACCTCTCCATTCGAATTCCGCATTGCATCTCATCACTCCATTATCACCGGATGCTTGGCATCGGTGCTTAAACATTGAAACTTCACTGCTGCACAAATATAAGTTGAGCCTTACTGTCAGGAAAACGACAAACGTGGAAGGGGGAGCGGCTCAGTTATAGCGTAACACTCGTTCAGAAATGCCCACATCTCCAGATACTCAATCACAACGCCACCGATGACAGCACCCATAGCTTGTAGCGTCTCCAGCCATACACTGGGAGGAATCACACCGATCCCATCCTGGAAGGCCAGTTATACCGACAGCACATGGTCGATTTCATACCCCTCTGCCAGGTCAAAGGCCGGTAACTTCTCTGCTTGCGCCAATCTGAATTGGGCACGAGAAACTGAACCCTATTCTACAAACGATTATTTGACATGTGCACTATACGGTCTTACCAGTGGAGCTTCTGCTGCTAGACACATTATTCCACGGAAGTCCTCGTTCCACAACCGGACACGCTCCTCCTAATATCCTTGTTGCGAATTCGCCGACGCCAGCTTACGTGAATAATGGTTCTGAAACAACAGAACCATTTGCTGTGGTTAGAGCGCGAACTTACTGACCGGGACTTCCATGGTTTCAGTCCGACTTCTGCATTTCGACTTCTACCTAACCGGGCAGTATCCCAGCCGTCATGCCTCCTTCGGGTGGCATGGCTGCTAGCCACCGAAATTTTCCCTACTTTTTGGGCGGTACCGAAATGGTGTTACAGCTGAACGATTGTATTATTTCTATTCAAATCCGACTTTGTGAAGCTCGGCGCAGCTCTCCAAGTATTCGAAACTTGTTTGCTGCATTTTCCAGTGCGACAGAACCACCCTTATCGGTTGTGAACACTAATAACTCCATTCAACCATCCCGGCAGTAACTGGAAGCTAGGCTAGACATGGCGAAATCACTTGGTGTGTCACCAATCTAACAATCTCATTGCTAACACTAGGGATCATCCGATGCGGAGTTATCGAGATCCGCCAGTTGCAATATTTCACACATGGACAGACCTACATATATGGTGCTTTAATGCCTTCCTGGAATGATGATTGATCTGCTCAAATATCCAACATTTTTTCATTCATCTCCGCAAACAAGCCGTCTACATCTTTGAACTGCCACGAGAAATGTCCACCAAGCTCTACGACACCCCCATTTTGAAGCCCGCATGGCATACTTGAGATTCGTTTTGAAACTGTTCGATCGGGTTGGTATGAAGACTCGGATTGGTATTTTCTGGTCTTGTCATGTAGGATCTTTTGCACCCGCGTGAGTGCGCTCTCTGTTCCGAAATGAAAATTACTGTAGGCCACCCTAATGTTCCTAGCACAACGCCCTAGTTCACCTCAACCTAGCATAGTGCCGTTTGAGGAGCAAGTCACTTGATAGACCTTCGTGTACTTGTCCAGACTCATGTCATTCCTCTCTGTTGGTAAATAACTTCTCCCATCAGGGTGCAGAATTTCAATGTTCATCATGCCACTACCACAGTGAAAGGCGCCAGAGGAATGAGTGCCTATCTTCCCCTCTGACTTCATTCTTTTTCGTTCACCAACCCCTCCTATTCCTGAATTCCTCTTGCATACTCCTGCACCGTGAAGCCAAATTTTGAAATTTTATACAACTTAACTTCATCTAACTCTTATGTCCTATAACCGTTTGGGAATCATTAGCACGCCATCCGAGATGTCGTTTTGAATAGTGTTTCAAATAGTAGGGAACATGCCAATAGTGAACTGATTGAGTCGTTAAACCTGAATGTAGCGGGTAACAGAACAACGGGGAGAATATTACAACCGATGAGACACGTTAGTTGTGAATAACCACCGTAGTTTTGGCAACTAAAAGAACTAGAACAGTGGGGGGTGAACTACGAGTAGTTCAATGAAGAAACCAGAATTCAACTAAAACGATCCTACGCAAATCGCTACTAGCCAGTCGTTTGCAATCCACCTCCACATATGGCAAACAACACCTGATGAAGTCCCTTAAGCTGTTTTGTAAACTCCAAACCCGGCACCGCTACTACGCACTACGGCGAGAGAAAACAACCTTCTATTTGTAACACACTTCCAAAGTTTCCCGAAGGAAGCAGCATGGCTGAGATATTAGCGGTGTGTAGTAGAGGTTTAGTTGAGTTGGAGCCGTCGACATTCCGGGCAGTGATAGCACTTCGCTATAAGGCGTTCCTGGCGTGGTGCTACTGATATGGGCGGCAAAAAAGGCGCACAAGACATCAATCACAACAAACAGTACCTCCAATGAAACTGTTGTGCGGTTGGTAAAATGCGCTTGACTCATTCGCTATACTGGAGGGAACTCTTTGAACAGACGGCTGGGTAGCAAATCAGTACACCCTGACACGTGCGTAACCCACTCCTGAAACCACTCAAGACAATTTCCCTGGAGCAGTCAACCTACATTTAACTGCATATAACCGAGACATGGAATGGACAAACGGAGTTTATCAATTCAGCTGGACTATGGTCATGGACAGCGACACAGCATTATAGTTGAAACTAATAAAACTCGCGATAGCTGCGGACATGCTGGGGTAATTAGGGGCCCGATTCTTCAGTTAACGCTTTGTGGAAAACCACACGAAACAGAGGTATCCTGCGGTACTGACGCACACCAAGGTCACGCAACAAAAACGGCAGAATTCACGCTACGGAAAAAACTATGTTCCCTCCTTAATAACCCTGGGTGCGGAGGTTTACTACGTCTTGTTACACTCACATTGCGCCCAGCAGCAACTTTCCAACCACCGCGGCAAAATTTTGGGAGCACGATAAAACAACAAACGCATCAGTGGTACGACCCAGTTTAGTACAAGTAAGGCGTCTCAACGATTATAGAATGAAATCTTCCATGTTATCAAAGGCTTCAGAGGAAATCATTGGACGTGGAGAAGTGATAAAACTCTCCACAAACTCCATCAAGAGACGGCGCATGATTCAAATTTTGTGGGTATCTCGGATTCACGGATCGATACACAGGATCGAGGCTTTTGCCCAAGTTTCCCTGGTCGGTTTTGTTCTTGTCGTTCAGCAACTGTCGTTCGCCTGAAAGGCACAAGTGAAAAAAGGGTGTAGCACTGCTCTTTATGTTCTCAGCGCGGGGCAGTATGCTCGCCAGCGCGAGGATTCGCATAAATAAATGTCTAATAGTGCTTTAAATTGGGTTCGAGAAGGAGCGTGTACAACCGTCGGAGGAAGGTCATTCCACGCAGCTACTACCCGAAATGAAAAAAAGTTTTGTCTAACGGATGTGTGTGCCCTGAGCTTGAAGATTTTCTTACTATGTCCCCGCCGGGTGTTTGCTGGGTCAACGGTAAAAAACCTGTTTGCCAAGCTTTGTTCAAACAGGGCGTAGGTAAGAATTAGGTCCCCTCGGAGGCGACGGTACTCCAGGGGAAAGAGATCAAGCGTCGCGAGACGCGTTTCGTAGTCCACGGACTTGAGGCCGGCAACCATTCTCGTGGCGGCCCGCTGGACACGCTCAATGAGGGTAACGTCTTCCGTACGTCCTGAGTAGACAACTTGGTTGGCGTATTCCAGGGGCGGTCTGACGTGGGCCCCATAGAGTATTTGGAAGTCCATGCGAGTAATACGGGAGAATGTGCGTCGGATCATCCGTAAAATGGCGAATGCCTTTTGGGCCGATTTCTCATGGTGTAGTGAGGATGTCGACAAAGCTCAACCAGCAACAAACCGCAAGTAATGCTTGGCTCCCAATTATTGGGGGTGGAGCCTATTCTCACTCAGAATGATCTGTTTGATAGGAACGCCTTGATCTAGCGAAGGATTTTCCCTTGAATCCTATAAGATTCGAGTTTTTGGAGCAGCGGGACGTGTGGGGCCCTATCGGGAGCATTCGAGCCACTCACTGGAAGCACACCCAATTTATTTTCGCCGAAGTTATAGGATTGATGAATTGGCGATTTTTACGAGGGGTTCACCTTATCCGTCTGCATTTTTCCGTGCTATGCTGCGCAAAGCATCTTGTTCAGGTGAGCGAAATTTCGAGGTCGCTTACCATCCCTGATTCGCATCTGGTTACGGGAGATCAATCACGAAATCGCACTTTAGATCGTTTTGACTTTTTTCGGCAGTTTTCAAGAATGAGGTAACACCTGTAGAGTATCCTATGCAAATGAGATGTGGATACTAGTCACAAGGTTGCTGAAAACACTTCGACAGCCCACGAATGGTTTCGCCCTTCTTGGGGCTCAACACGCAGGTGCAGCCCTCGAGTTTCCGTCAACCTTATGATTTCACTTGAACCCAAATTGCACTGTTTTCAAAGGTAACTAATGGCATCCTTTGATTTTTACAATGAAAGTGGTAGCCACTGTCATCCAACTCAACCATTTATCGTAACTGCTAGTCCCGTATCTACGCGCGATACTGATAGCGCGGACTCACCAATGCACGGTGACTTAATCCAACAGCAAATTTTTAGCCTGCCACAATCACGCCTGTCTATGTTGTCACTCATGTCGATTAACTACCGCACTTATCGGGCCCGCGTCGATCTATGACGCTGATTATGAGATGCCGCCTACGCACAGCAACCTAATCCAGTGACCATTGACTGCCCTTCATACTCATGAATATGCACGCCGACACTCACCTCAGCCCTTATGGTAACTACAGAGCCCACAATAACGCACGCAGCTGATCACAGACCTCAACTTTACATTACAGCCGAATCCAACAAAAACGCGGCCACTTTTATCGCTCTATGTCGACCACCTACCATACCTATGCCTGAAAAACACAACTGCACTTCGTGAATTGTGCTGCTGAATATTGTTTACATTGATAAAATGTGATGCGTGGTTGATGCAGCTCCCGATTCGAAGAAGTCAATTTCATCCGAAGGGGTTTCCGGAAAGAAAAACGCTTCTTAAAATGCAACTAGCGTACATATTTCACAGTGTCATTGAAAATACAATTCAACCGGCCTGCTGTGATTAACTCAACAAGCGCTTAACAAATCAGGTTATCCACAATTACCAATCGGAGTCCACACCGAAACTGGAGTCTTGCTGCTGCAAAGGTGGGCTTACTACTTGTTCAGTCAGTCAAATGATCACATTTCCTCATACATCTTTGCACTGTCATTTATAACGGTCACTGGTTTTGAAACCAGGCAGTGCCGCCAAACTACACTGGTTAGAAATCGTGACAACTTTTGGCTCCCTGTCTTTTAAGGCTGCAGTATAACTGATACAATATTGCGCTCTAGATTTTGACACNCTTTCCTGCGTTGAATCCTCAATGTAGACATTACTCTCTCATCGTCTCGTTAGAATGATGGCAATGAACCGCCATGCGCCCTAGGTAGACCAAAGAAAATAATTGATCGCCCCCGATGCTCATTTGTCACGATTCCATGAGCAATCCTAACTACCGTGACGAGCCCAACTAAATCCCGAATATGTTCATGTACATTGATGCCCACAAACCAAGCTACGATTTCGCGATAATGGTTGCACGATGCCATAACCAGAGAAATTTCGGGTGTGTCTGATGCCCAGCGCCAAAAACTCGCCCACTCCTGAACTCACCCAAAGATTATCTGTAGACGTGGTTTGAACGAGGGAATATTTAACGTAAACATTCAGCATTACATGGTGTTTATTCTAACCCCTAAGATCTTTACATGTTGAAAGTTGTTTAAACGCAATTTGAGATACATTGTGGGAGAAGAACTTATATTTCAATGGCTGATAAGTCGAGGCCCATTAGCGACACAATGCTGTTCGTTGCAAAACCTTTGAGAGTGAAATAAAACTTTAGGCTCTGTAATGTCGCATTTTGTCACGTATGTGCGAACACCGTAATCTACTTTCATATTTTTGCAGCTCAGCGAATTTCGTTGTCCAATGAAGCAAACCCAACCCTGGCAGAGATAGCCTTGTGGAATACTCTTCTTGCATCTGTGAGAATCCTGAATGCCTAGATGGGGCTCAAAAGTATGAATTCGTACTGAATTGTCCAGCTCTTTTTTTCAATCAGGGACAGGTCGTATCTCTCGAAAATTCAATTAAATTGTGCGAATACTGACCACCGCATGGTGCTTCCATGAAGATGGCAGAAAATTGTGGATAAGCCGCTTTTGTCACATATTTTCTCTTGTATTGTATTTGGAAGTAATCTGACGGCCATATGAACAATCACGCCCTTCGGTTATCGAAATCTCAGAACTTAGCAGCTTTTCGCCGCCTGTGTAAGGGAAACTCTTCCATCGTTGCGACAGGCGCCACAAGAAATGAAGCCATGACATCCGTCACAGCCAGTAATTCTTTGAATTTCGTACGTTGGTTGGCAGACGATATTTTGGGTACGCGACAATATTTTATCTTCATCGGCATACTGACCCCTTGATGGTGCAATTATAGGGATCCGTGATTTTGTCGACAGAGGGTGCAGACAGCATAGCAGAGTGGTCAGCGCTTTAATGTTCCCACATGAACTCAACAGATTGAGACGGTTTTTTGGACACGTGCAACGAGCTGGATCGGAAAATATTGGGATACAAATTACGGATAAGCCGTTAGATTGATTATGGTAGTCGCTGAAGCGTCAGCGGACGTCGTGCTTGGGTTCATGGACAGCCCCGTACGTGAACTTCTTAGGAAGTCGGTTAAGTTTGTCTTATCTGCTAAGAATTGCCAAGATGTCGTGACAAATGAGGACCAGAATGAATTCAAAACACATGTATCGGAATGGGTGATAGTTGGCAGATGATATGTGTTAGGCTGGGTGCGCCTTGGATGCACGATGAATTTTTCTGTAAAACCCTTTTCGGGTGTGTCTGATGCCCAGCGCCAAAAACTCGCCCACTCCTGAACTCACCCAAAGATTATCTGTAGACGTGGTTTGAACGAGGGAATATTTAACGTAAACATTCAGCATTACATGGTGTTTATTCTAACCCCTAAGATCTTTACATGTTGAAAGTTGTTTAAACGCAATTTGAGATACATTGTGGGAGAAGAACTTATATTTCAATGGCTGATAAGTCGAGGCCCATTAGCGACACAATGCTGTTCGTTGCAAAACCTTTGAGAGTGAAATAAAACTTTAGGCTCTGTAATGTCGCATTTTGTCACGTATGTGCGAACACCGTAATCTACTTTCATATTTTTGCAGCCCAGCGAATTTCGTTGTCCAATGAAGCAAACCCACCCCCTGGCAGAGATAGCCTTGCATCTGTGAGAATACTGGATGCCTAGATGGGGCTCAAAAGTATGGGTTCGTACTGAATTGTCTAGCTGTTTTGGTCAATCAGGGACAGGTCGTATCTCTCGAAAATTCAATTAAATTGTGCGAATACTGACCACCGCATGGTGCTTCCATGAAGATGGCAGAAAATTGTGGATAAGCCGCTTTTGTCACATATTTTCTCTTGTATTGTATTTGGAAGTAATCTGACGGCCATATGAACAATCACGCCCTTCGGTTATCGAAATCTCAGAACTTAGCAGCTTTTCGCCGCCTGTGTAAGGGAAACTCTTCCATCGTTGCGACAGGCGCCACAAGAAATGAAGCCATGACATCCGTCACAGCCAGTAATTCTTTGAATTTCGTACGTTGGTTGGCAGACGATATTTTGGGTACGCGACAATATTTTATCTTCATCGGCATACTGACCCCTTGATGGTGCAATTATAGGGATCCGTGATTTTGTCGACAGAGGGTGCAGACAGCATAGCAGAGTGGTCAGCGCTTTAATGTTCCCACATGAACTCAACAGATTGAGACGGTTTTTTGGACACGTGCAACGAGCTGGATCGGA